AACCTCTGCTAATATTTTATTTGTCCACAGACAACAGACACATTCTACCAGCTAGAAACTGTAAACGGAGAGTTTTATAAAACTCAAACAGACAATAATCTAATATTCTGTATAGATGAAGCATATTTTATTCATCAAATCACAGGATTTTATAAGCACAAGCATGAATGCGTTTCATTTTTATTCCTCTGCGTTTGTTGTAGATTTCTTCTTAAAATCATTCTTGAAAAAACATTCAAATATACAAACCATTGGACGACAGAGCGGTTTTAGTCATTTCCTGTCTGTGTGTCACATTGGTTTACTTTGGCCACTGCCAGTGCCGTTAAATATAATTAAATATGAAATATGAATATGTTAAATATGAATATAACTTAAGTTTAATTAACATGGCACATCACAGACAGTAACAACACTGTTCATACATGAACAAATATTCATGGACATATTTATTAGTCTTCTTCACTCAAACACTGACTGCATATACTCCTGCTCCATTGATTCTGTACATACTGATGTTTTTACACATCCCTATGTATATTTTTTTCATTGCTTATGATATAACATTGTATATATGACTTGCATATTAAAAACTAAAGCAGATGTGGATGAGTGTGTGAAAGGAACATTCAAAATGTAATGAAAAAACAAACTGAAACTGAACTGAAATAAAACAAATGAACAAATCTTTATTTTTATTCATGCAGAGAGAGAGAGAGAGAGAGAGAGTGAGAGAGAGAGAGAGAGAGAGAGAGAGAGTGAGAGAGGGAGAGAGAGTGAGAGAGGAAGAGAGAGAGAGAGAGAGTGAGAGAGAGAGAGAGTGAGAGAGGAGAGAGAGAGAGAGAGAGATCAACATTCAACATACAGGTGTCTTAAAGACACACAAACAAAAACATTAAATGGAGCCTATAAAGTTGCTGGCAGGCTCCCAGGTGTCTTCCCAAGTTTTGCCACTGAAAAAAAGAATGAATGCAAACAAGTGTAAGATCACTGCATATCCCACAATATTAGTTTATATCAATGAGGTATCATAGAACAACAAATGACTTAGGATCAGTTTTTCAGAAGCCTGCTACTAACCAGTATGGAAGTAAGTACATATATATATATATGAGCTCTTACCATGAGGAACAAGGCAGCCAGCTCACTTTTACCTCTTCTCTTCCCTGCACACACACACACACACACACACACACACACACACACACACACACACACACACACAGAAACATTCCAGCAACCACTGTTAAATGAACTGCTATTTCACTCAGTCAGTTACATCTTACCTCCTTTAGTTGTTTCTTTTATTTCATTGTAGTGAAATATTTTTTGCTTCAAACATTTTCAGCAGCCTAAAATTATGCAAAAAAAAGAAAAGAAGAAAGAAGGAGAATAAATGTAGAAACAGACTTTGACATCCCCCAGGTGAATACAGAACTCACAGGGGTCAGCACAACCGAAGCAATGGCTGAGCTTCACCCTGGGTTTGAACCACCTTCTTGATCATGATATCTCACCTATTCACTGTTCTTTGATTGTTATTGTGGACCTGGTACACCTTGGTCAAGGTTCCGAGCTAGCTGAGCTGATACTAAAAGGTGGTGTGACATTACTGCCAACCACTGATTAGTCACATGACAGTTGACGTCCTGCACAAAGTCTAGATTTTTAAAAAGCCAAACTATCATTAATAGTTTTTTTATTCACTCAAAATGGCAGCCCACAGCCCCATGCTGTGGTCAACTGACAAAGTCCAGACTTGTCCAGAACATAGCTTCATATCCTCTGTTATGAGTAGCGTAGCTGTTTATGTGCGTAGTGTGTTGTCAGTGTGGCAGTAAATGTACAGTGTAGCTTAGAGTCTGTCAATAAATAAAGGCTGCAGCTTCTCAAGACCAAAGTAAAGCTTGTTTCCCAACTTCATTGCTCTGACAATCACCTCTGCCTACATTGAGGGGTCCCATCCAAAGTTCTATCTACAGTGGAAAAGGAAGTAGAGGACCCAAAAGTAAATAGAGTAGAGTTGAGCTGTACAATGCTGACGCACAGAGGAAGAGAAGGAGTGTCTTTTGTCTGATATGTGTCCACATTAGTTTTTGTTTTATCTCATGAATAATTTATCTTCTACCTGTAGATGAGGACAAGTTAGTGAGTAATCCTTTATGTTTTTTATTGTTACTGATAATAACAGGGATTAGGGAAAAAAACTGTTCTCCGAAAAGTCTTCTGTTTGCAATCTCTCTTTGCATGTGTCTGGTTCATTGTGTCTACATGCACACAAACAATATTATCATGCTGCTATCAAGGAATTGCATTGCACATTTAATTTGATGAGTAGGCTGTAGCACAAAAAAACAAAAAAACCTCTCTTCCTCTTTTTCTTCCCTTCACCTGTTGCACTGCTCAGGGAGATAGTAGGTGTGGGAGAGACCGGGAGCACTGTGCAGACACACCTGTGACAAAGATGGATGACTTTAGACACATTACTTAAAATATGGCAGAAGGTGATTAATGCTAACACTCACTTTCAGTCATGGTTTTTTGAGAGGGAGATGCTGAGGCGGTGCTTGGAGGCCGGACAGGGACGAGGGTTAGGATGTAAGTCTCCTCCTCATAGTCCATTTGGGGATGAGAAGTAGATGGGAGAAAGGTGGAAGGGTCTGGAGGATGAGGAGGAGAAGAGGGTTGGGAGGGAGAGGAGGTAGACTGTGGAGTTGGAGATGGGCTGGGAGCTTCTGGCAATTGCATCCTTTGAGAATCTGAAAAAATATAAATATAAATATTACTCACAATGACAGCATATCCCAAAGCATAAATCATAAAAACAGATGTTTGCCTTAATTTTAATAATGTACTCATATGCCCTGCTCATCTTTTCTAAAAAGGCTTTTACAGGCCCGTCCCCTCCAGGGAACATGTAGGTGATCATTTCAGCATTTACTGTGTTCACCCTCTTCTTCTTCTTCCTGATGAACAACATTGGGTTGTAGCCCAAGGCAGCAAGCTTGCTAAACCTGAAATGTACACAATAAATTACACAAAATGTTAACATGGCATTATTATTATTACACACTGACATGTTCCATTGTTTTCACTTTATTTGAGTGTTATGTGTGCACCAGTGTTTGCTAATGTCTATAATCTTTTTCAAGGGTTTCCTGAGAGTTTTCTAATGAACTGTAGGTGTGTGTACATATAACCTTCTTTCAGACAGAAAGGTGTGGACAGGGTTCTGTGGAGTGCTGGGATGAAGCACTTGTTAACAGAGAGTTCACTGTCTCTGTTATTATAGTTTCTGTCTGAAATATCATAAAGCTCAGGAGACAGACATGGCCAAAACAAGTTTTCCCTCCATTTCTTTTTAGTTTAGTTCTTCGGAGATGCAAACACATGCATTGCACCCTCAGTTTAATATTTTGCACTTTCAGTTCAAATTGCATATTAATGCCAAGCATAAGGTGGTCTGGCACATGGACTGCGTGGGCATCTTCATGCTCACCAGCAGCTCAATCAGCAAAGAGTTGGATGAAGATTAATAAAGGTCAGCGGGTGTGGTGATTAATAAATACTCTCCCAGCTTGTCACATCACTGGTCTCATAGCTCTGAAACACCTGAGCTAATCAGTTAAACACGATAGCAACAGCTCAACAAATAGAAATCTTCGTCTCAGGAAATGTCTGGATGGTTCAGAGAGTCACAACATGAACACACCTCACCACCAATCTGCAGCCAATGACAAATGAAGTATGATTTTCCCATAAATAGTTAATCTAATAATATATAAAGTGATTGATTATATGATTATTTCGGACAAAGACTGTTTTAGTTGGAATTCTAATGTATCCCAGCTCATACATGGACACATAGTTTAGTAATTAATGATATAATGTGTTTGCACTGCACTGGTCACAGTATTTAGCCATGATTCCTCTGAGGACTGGAGTTTGAGGGTATGGGTGTCCTTCTGACTCGTAAAGCAAACTGTTGCTGAAAATGACTGACACCCTGTTTAACTTACTGCTGTTAAACTTTATTCGTCTGTGTTCAGCATAATCTGTTTATCTGGGACCCAACTCTGGATCATCATACACTGCTCTACTTTAATAGCTGTTGGCAGCTCGCACTGTAACTACTAGTGTACCACCACTAATGTGAGATGCACCTGAAGTCATTTGGTTCTGGAACCGGGCCTAGCTCTCTCCTCATTGGTGAAAAATGTGCTATTGATCAGAAAAAAATGCTATTTGGACCACAAGCCCATATGTCAATAATGAGCCAACTCATTTTGAATCTTTAGCTAAATGTAAGGTTAGGGGTGGCTCATATAAAGAGGCGGCATTATGTTCAACAACCTTTAATGAATACAATGGATCCGCACACACACAACACATCAAAGTCAATACTCACTGCCTTTTCTTTTCTTTGAATGACTTTTTTTTGCAGGAGGCAAACACAGCAGCTGGTCTTCTGATTGGCATGATGCTTGCTCCACAATAGGGACAGCTTCTTGTTTTGGGCTTCATCATGACTTTGAGAGGAAGATGAATGGAAAAGAAAATAAGAGTGTGACACATGAAAAGAACTAACTTACAATTCCAATCCAACTTTATTTGTTGAGCACTTTAAAAACAACCAAAGTGCTGTACAGGAGAATAAATAGGACATCATAAATATAGACAGTGATGATGATGATGATGATGATGAAGACCACTGTGAGGAACATAGACAGTGATGATGATGATGAAGACCACTGTGAGGAATATAGACAGTGATGATGATGATGATGAAGACCACTGTGAGGAACATAGACAGTGATGATGATGATGAAGACCACTGTGAGGAACATAGACAGTGATGATGATGATGAAGACCACTGTGAGGAACATAGACAGTGATGATGATGATGAAGACCACTGTGAGGAATATAGACAGTGATGATGATGATGAAGACCACTGTGAGGAATATAGACAGTGATGATGATGATGAAGACCACTGTGAGGAACCCGGTGTTACACCAGCTGTTGTTGATGAGCACAGACAGTCCCCCTCCTGTCTTCATGCCGGTCCCGGTGCTGTCCCTGTCGGCTCGAACCGTCTGGAAGCCGGGAATGGTGACGTTGGAGTCCGGTATCTGCTCGATGATTGCAGGGATGAAGACTTTAAAGCTCCTCTTCTTCATCCTCCGTTCAACCCGCTCTGCAGCCTCACCGTCTCCTCCTCAGCTCCTCCGGTATGGAGGCTCTCTCTCCGGTCAGGATGCTCGGGTACCTCAGGGTGATCATCTGGTCGCGGGTGAAAACAATGCGACTCCCCGTTGCCATGGAGACCAGCGTAAACAAAAACAAAAAGTGCTCAAAAACGCCAAAAAAGTATTTAAGCAACGTGAACAAAGTAGTAAGAGAGTAAGAGAGTAAGAAAAGAGTTCAAAATAGTAAAAACACACTGAAACTACAACAATGGTAGGAGCTGTTGTCGCCGGTGGGTCTAATTGACTGCAAGGACTTTCTAAATACAGATAACAATCACCAATTTCCCGTTGACCAGCATACTGTGTATAACAGAGCATGCATTAATGCTGATGTTACACTGAAACCTCTTTAATGTGTGGCACAAAAGTAATATTGCTGCATCTGTAAATATACAAACTATATTGTTTTATAGTTTACATTTGTAGGTACACACTCAAAACATTAACTGTGTTTCTTCCTTCTACTAAACATTAAACCTGTGTTTCCCGCACGAGGACAGTACCCGCGTTACCAAGTACCGCGAACGAGACCCATCATCAATCATAAAACATAACAAACAGTATTTCAGTAAAGAGAATTTAAAAACATGTATATATGTAAATTTAAAAAGAAGTCAAAAAAGAAAACAGAAAAAAATATATGAAGCGGCTGTAAAACTATCTGAAATTAACATATTAACTTTTATTTAATATCAATCATCTAGATGAAGTGTAATTACTGATTCGGCTGCACTAAATGTTTGATATATTCAATAGATGTCTGATATTACGACCCTATTTTACAACCCTACTTTGAAAACCGGAAGAACTAGCTAACCCAAATCCACATTTATAGAATAACAGTTAGTATATCTGACATAAGCCAACATCTTTACTGTTTCTTAACATTAATCACATAGATGGAGTGTAATTACTAATTCGGCTGCACTTAATGTTCGATATATTCATTAAATATATATTTTTACGACCTATTCTTAACAATACTTTGCAAACCGCGGCACAAGGGAATTGTAGTTTTTGTTTTTAATGGTACATTTCCTAAAAATGGAAGTTGTAAATATTAAATTAACAGTATGCTGATAGATTTAAAGGGGTGGGAAACATATTTATTTGATCAGATTGTAAATATGCAATTGTTAAATTGGTGAAAATTCATTTTGATCATACATGACAGTGCCCCCACTTGGTGACTATATTTATATGAATATAGTCACACAGCTGAAGTCAAGAGCTTTCTGAAACAGTTGGTCCCATGTCTGTAGCCTCTTCTGTTGCTGAATGACAAGCCTTCCAATATGCACTGAGGTCAAGGTTCAGAGGTCAATATTTCACAACAGGAGCCACTTAAAATCTTCAAACTGACATATGTTACTCACCAGGCCTTTCCAAAAAATTCTTTAATTTTGTTCTAGGACAAAGTTTAATTCTCACCTCTGTTTGGTGCCGGCCTCTTTCAGGTGTAGTTTCTGAGACCATTTGAGACTCCAGCCTGGATGAACTCAAGGTTTTGGATTTTTTGCTTATATGTTTGATAAAAACCTTCAAGGTATTGATTTTTTTCCTAATCACATTCATCATTTGGGATCTGGGCTAGTGTAGACCTTATTTTACCTATAGGCAGATTATGAGACAATGGTCCTCTCGCCACGGACATGCCAACATCCCATACCCCCACAGCAGGGCACTCACTTGGCCCATGTTGCCTAACACTAACACATATTTAAAGGAGAATACAGTCAAGTGATGCACCACATAAATAATAATAAAGAGCATTCTTCAACAGGCAGCACTCTCAACACCTCTAATATGCCACCACATCCTCCAAAAAAATCCACTTTATGGTCATGCAGTTGTAGATTGCAGGCCCATGGCCGTGTGTCTGTGTGGGAGCGGTAATATATATATATATTATTTGGTCATAGTCCTAATTATAGTCATTTGAATCTACCGGGTGCTTTGCATATGTCTCTGTGTCACCAGTGGTGGAATGTAATGCAGTGCTTTAACTCAAGTACTGTAATTAAGTACAAATTTGAGATACTTTTACTTTAAGTCTTTTCTTTACATGTTACATACGTTTTGACGTTGGCTAGTTCATCTGATATACAGTACATCACTATGAAATGTGGTTTGCTAAATCATTCAACCTGTGTAAAGTTGGATGTTACTATATAATTGCATTAAAACTGTTCATGTTATTGAAAACTTGATGCTGAAAATCCCATATCACTAGTCCTTCCTCTGAATCTCTCCTCTTGCCATATACTGAATTCATGTACTCTGAAAGCATGTGGGAATTTCTCAGATAAAATAAGTCTAACCTAAAACAGTAGTAACATCCAAGGCTCAATCAGAAATGTAGCTTCATTGTGCCTTTGTTTAATTAAACATTAAAGAAGAATTATAAATCAAACAGTAAAGATCAACTGGAAAGAAAATCCCTGAAAAGATGCAGAACTGAACGTGAATCAAAGATAAGACAGTAAAGGACAGTGGTTTGTGTTGTAAAGATGTAAGACAACATTAACCAGGAACTTCCCACAACCCAGTAGAGAAATCCAACCTTATATAAGTGAATAAACATTTCAAAACCAAATGCAAAAATAACAACAACCTAATACAAAAACTATCATCTCCAACTTAATCCTGACAATGAGCACATACGTTAGTCACTTTTTAAAGCCACATGCTCTGTGTGACCATGTGTCGCACACGGTGCACTGTGATCATGAGCACCACATCTTCCTGTTTTACATTGCATCAGACTCTGAATCTCCACAGCTAACGTCGAACTCATCTGAACTGTCCATTGTGTCAATTATGTCATCTGCTGATGACAGCACATGCAGGTAGTGTTTTCTTGTATGCCGCTGCAGCTCTCTCATTTCCCACTGGAAGGATGAGGCAGGTGTGACCCTTTGTTGCTTTCTCTGTGAGATGTCCTTAAGAAGGGATAAACTATGTCACTATCCAGGTAAATAACATGTCTTTCACAACTTAAACATAACTTTGTGAAACATTCGAATTTAAAAAAATGAAGTACAAGGCCGCATTTACTTTGCATGGCGTCTTCACTCTGATGCTGAGACAACTGGGACAAGACCCTGGCATGGGCTTTGAGAGACTCCCAGTGCTGCTTCATTTCTTTCACAAGGATCTTCTTCTCCTCTTGAAGCCTTCGAACACCCATGACCCTATGGAAGACTTCTTTCTTTGTGCTGAAATCAGCAGAGCCTGTAATACATCAATATGAAAAGTTCAGACTACTGCATGTAGCATGTAGCTTCAGAGATCATTTCTGTCATACATATGCACACTTGGTCAGAATGCAAATATGTCCACTGGAACACCTGAATGTAAGAATACTAATGATGAAATGTGTATTCCCTAAAGTACTGTGCTTTAGTATAAATTTGAGGTACTGGCACTTTTCTTTTTATGCTACTTTCTTCTTCTACTGCACTACATCTCAGAAGAAAGTATTTTACTTTTTACTTCACTACAATTATTGGACAACTTCAACTTTTAGTGCTTTAAGGATACTTTACTGATTATACTGAATATTTTACTTGTGATCAGAGTATTTTTACAGTGTAGTATCAGTATTCTTTACTTTGTAAACAGACTTCATGCTTTTAAGTAAAGGATATGATACTTCTTCCACCACTAAAGAATACGCACAGTACATGAAATGCATACCACTCTGTGTAATTTGCCAATTATGAAGTGAGTTTGGAGACATTTCAGACTGTGATCTGAAAAGGCCTTAAATGTTAACATACCATTTTTCCGATATAGGAGTTGAGCTCTCGTGTTGATGCTGGTTGTTAAGGCCTCAATCTTCTTACACAAAGCTTGTGGTGTGCCTTGATGGTCAATTTCTCCTGACAAAATTGATTGCAGGTAGCGTCAACTTCACAAACGACACAAATGTTTCTCCATGTCAGATAATGTTTCACGTTCTTACCATCGGCCCATTCTTTTACTTCTTGCACAAATTCTTCCACAGTTTGTTCACCCAGTTGATGCGGGGCTTTCAGGGTTTCCAGGTCCCCAATCGGGATATTGAGAGCTTTAGATGTCTAAAATGACAAAATTATTACCAAGAGCTAAAAGTCAGTACAACATATACAGTGTACAAATGCAACTCAAATCAGGCAAATGTTGTAACTATCATGTATCACAAGCCTATGTGCACAAAACTGTATGTGTGTTTTATTGACCTACACTGTGCCATTGCAGCAAAATAATATTGTTTCTATTTACCTTATGGTATCTCTGGGAAAGTGCAGTAGCCAGGTTTGGACATTTCTGCTGGTTCCATCTTATGGCCAGGAGTGTCAGCATGTCATTGCGTCCTGCAAGTACACAGAGATGAGTTCTGTAAAGATTCACTTGTAATAATATAAATGTCTTTTATTCTGTATACAGAGGTACAATTATATAGCACCTGCTTTTGACATATGCTTTGTGGTGACTGCTATCCTGGAGAGGGAAGCATTACATTGCTCTACTTCCTCCCCTAGTGTTTTACCAGCACCTTCTTGGTTTGCTACTCCATTTGACCTGGAGAGAGGGACCCAAACAGAAACATCAAGGGAATTTAGTACAGCAGAGACCTCAAGCAATGCCCAACAGTCACTTTTATTTCAATTAAAACCTAATCAAAAATCAAACTGTCACCCTTCCACCAAGTTGTGTGTACATTAGTGGTAAACCTCATGAGTAATCTTGCTTACCAACAAACATACACAGACAGGTGCAAAATAATATCCTTGACAAAAGTACATGTGTCAATTAAGGGCTGTTCACATCAACAACTATAACAATACAAATGTTAAATAATCTGTTAAGTGATAGTTAAACATTACACATTTATATGCATCATTTATAGGATTGCAAGTCATTTGATAAAAATGTACTGTATTATACTAACCTCACATTTGAAGTCATGCGCTTTAGCATGTACAAACATATTAAGGGCAGCCAGCAAGACATCATGCCTGCACACTGCCAGCTCCAGTCCCTCCTCATCCACCTTACTGCTTGATCTCTCTGGCAGCTGACCACTCCCCCACCACAATTGCTCCTTCCAGTGACCTACATTGTAGAAAATCATAATTGACAAATAATCTCATCAACAGTCATTACAGGGAACAATTATTAATTTCTTTTAGGGGACAAGGAACAGATTAGTGTTAGCAGATTAAGAACAATTAGGTATACAGGTAGATATCACAATACATGGGAGTACTGACGGACTATGAATTACAATGTTATATTGAGATAGAAATGTAAGTCTGCTATTACATGTTTATTTTTGCTGTGGATGTGATCCACAAATCTGGTCACATCGTCATCTTTTGCAATGAAGACACTGTCAAAAATGGCCCGCTCCTGAGATCTAAAAAAAACAACAAGAAATAAAAAGGCTTCAATGTTTAAAAGGATAGTTGAGTATTCTGAAATGGAGTGGTATAAGGTACTTATTCATAGTAAGTGTGTTACCTACAGTACACAGTGTTCAAACAGCCCTTTGCCTTGGCACTACATTGTCTCAACTGTAGAAATGCATATTTCTACATCTAACCCCAACTACAATACTGGATATTGGGTTTTTTTCAGGTGGGCCTTTTATATGTGGCTAAAACACATTTTTCTGCTTCTCCACAACAGAGGCAGGGGATGGGTGGCGGTGACCATTGTCTGCTGTAGGTAACAGACTGACCATGGATAAGTACCTCATACAACCCCACTTCAAAACACCTTAACTATCTTTTTAACATGTCATACATCGAAAGGTTACTTGTTGTATAAAACATAACTATCTATCTGTACATTATTGTATACCTTGCAGTACTTTTGAAGCGGTAACGCTTGCAGTTTCCATCCACCGAGACAGAAAGCATTGCTGGGGTACAGGCAGGACAGATGAATTTCTCCTCCTTGCAGGTGGAGTCAACCTCATATTGTACAGCAGCCCATTCAAAAAAAGCTTTTTTTGGAAGCTGTCTGATGAGATCTTCCCAGTCTATGTAAAAAGAAAAAGCACAAAACAATTTTTAAAACAAAGACCTTTCCATTTCAAAACACAAACATATAGAGAAATACTTACACGGCCAAAGCCAGCAGTCCGCTTCTCAAGCATTCTTAGATATGCCTGAAAAGACATCCCGGGTGATGCCATCTTCATGTCTTCAAACGTATAAAACAGGTCTGTCTCATAAATTGTTACAAAATGAAGGGTGGCAGGTCAGTATCCACTTTTATCAGGTCATCAAGTCCTGCAGTCCAAGTTGCCTGGCATCCTCGCAGGTCAGCTCCGGCATGTTGAGATCATACTGTCCTACAAGGTAATATTTACATTTACAACCAGCCATTTGTTGCAACGCTCTCCTTGGCCAGCATGCTACTAAGAAGAGATGGTCTCTTTTCCCTCCATCTCTCAGAAAAGAGAGCATTGTGAATGCTCCAATCCAGAGAAGCCAGAGGAGCTCTTTGGTCTGCTGATGCTTCACTAAGCTCTTCATCAGAGCAGCTCAGGGAGGGTTGCAGATCTTGCAAAAGACATTCTATTGCAATTGTAAAAGAAATACATGGAGTAGTTAGAAGGGGCCCAAGGTTGTTTTTGTATCATATGCACACAACTAGTTGTTATATGACAGATATAACATATATAACAATGTGAATGGTGCTTGGCAATTGCATATCAACAGGGAGAAATGTTGTCATAAGGCTTGTTTTGGAGACTTTGTTTTGTTCAATAGCTCATTTTGCAGATACTAGGTACAAGACATTATCCACAGAACATATCTAATGAAACACACACCAGCAGAATCTGTGTGAAGCAGTCTCTGAGCAAAGGTCCCTCTACATGAGGGTGTGAGGTGAGACCGGTCTTACAACGGCGTTCAGCTGTAATGCAGAAAAAACACATACACCTCTTAGAGCAGCATATATTTGTCTAACACTTACATTTGTTTTAAAGATACCTGTATGCGATCTACATTTATACGATACAGTACAGTTTTACTATTTCATTTTTTGGGTGGGGCGTGGGTCTTCTTTTGGAAAAGAGGCTCCAAGACCACCTACATGAAAAATGTAACTCATGTTAGCCAAATCATGCTTACAGCAAAAGTATTTCTTTATTTTTCAGGATTTGAGATCTATCAGAGATGACACATTCATCTGACCTGGTGGTGTTGAGCTTCAAACTTTGATAAATAACATTTTGGTGTACTTTACAT